CCCCCCCCCCCCCGCCCAGCATCCTTTTTTTTTAGAAAGAACTTCCTGACATTTCTGGTGTCTATTAAGCAATTTGTCTGCAGATGGATGAAATAAGCATGATCTGGGAGAAGATGGAAAAGCAGGAGATTCGGTCAAAAGTGGAGGGCAAGGGACATGTCGGTTTGGAGTTGGGACCTGGGAGGCAGAGGTTTGGAAGGTTTGGAAAGGATGTTCTTGACCAGAATTAGAACTGAGTCAGCCATGGATGAAGGAAGCAGTGTGCGGCAGCCCCAGAAAATCCAGATGTGGTGTGAAAATCATGGATTCCCTAATTGGAAAAGATTTCAGGACTTTCCTCAGGCATACGCCACACACAGCAACTGAATGGCAGGTTCACTCGAGGCTAGGGACTGGCTGACTGAGCCTAAGTCAAGGAAGCCAGGCAGCAGCAATGCGGTGGCAGAGGAGAACCATACAAACTGCAGACCTGAGAGGTAGAGGCCACTATTCTGAGGAACTATAATGGTTTTCTTACTTCTCAAAAGATTGGAACTGAAGAGTATGCTGACTTCAGAAGAGTAAGAATTTATAGTATGTTTGAAATTGCACAAGAAAGCATGCTCTGAAGTCACAAGACTATTTTTAAACCAATAATTAAGAGCTGAATTAAGAGATGAAACATGACTATCTTGATCTCATGCCTGTAATCCTAGAGACTCAGGAGGCTGAGATCTGAGAATCACGGTTCAAAGCCAGCCTGGGCAGGAAAGTCCGTGAGACTCTTATCTCCAATTCACCACCAGAAAACCGAAAGTGGCAGTGTGCCTCAAGTGGTAGAGTGCTCGCCTTGAGCTAAAGAGCTCAAGGACAGGGCCTAGGCCCAGAGTTCAAGACCCATGACTGACAAAAACAAACAAACAAAAACCCCAAACCCAAAACTGATGTAATGCATAGCTTATGAAAGTAAGAAAATTAAGGGGCGGAGCTGGGTTGGGAGGGATGGGAAAGAATGATGAAAGGGGTGACATTGATCAAGATACATTGTGCTTCTAAACTGATGTGTTGAGTGGTAACTCGTTTGTACAGCTACTTAAAGATAATGAAGATATAATTTTTAAAAATGACTGATGTATAAGGTGTAGCTGTCTTCCACACATTTTCTTGGTTTGACAGGTGTTGCACTCATCTGGCTTTTTCTAACTACTTTTGGAAAGTGGAAAAGGATTTAAATGACAGATAACTGCCTAAACTATCTCTAAAAGGCAAAATATAGGACCCCGAACAGAGGAGCATTCCAAGTACACATCTCCATTGGTCCTTGCGTGCTCAGCTCTTAGACCCATTGGTGTGTGTCTTGGCCCAGGTGTTTGGGAAAGGCACCCAGGTAACTGCAGGCATTATACACTGAGGGATGATAAAGCAGGTCTTGAATCAGCAGGCCTAAGTCAGAGGGAAGTGGCTCAGGAGCTGCTGATTGGAGTTCCAAAGAGTCCCAAGGAAACCTAGGCACTGCTGGGCTTCACACTCCCAATGTGTGAGGCACCTACAGCAATTTTCCCAAGAGGTTGGAGTCCATGAGCCCATTTTCTACCCATGAAGCCTGAGATGTACAGTAGGGCTCACCTATGAATCCTACTCACTTGCCTTTTGCCCTTAGGGCTCAGTCTTTCCCCATGTGTATCTTGCCCTCTGCTTCTCACAAATCCCATAACTGCCCGGCCTTGCCTGGCTTCTTTCTGTGTCATAGTTCAGGAGCTTCCTATCTACTTGCAGATCCCTGCAAGTACTGGCCAGTATGGGGAGAGACAGATTGTTCTTGGTTCTGATTATGTTTTTCCTCCACAGAGACTGCTAAGGCAAACCTCACCTACAGCTCTGGGTTGGCTTCCCTGTCTGGTGTGGGCACATTCTGCTCCCAGCATGCTGTGTAGCTGGCACTGTCTCTCTGATTATAGCTCCTTCTGCAAACTGATGCCATCAAGTTTAAGTTATCAAGGAAGCTGCTCTCTATAGAGAAAGCTTGGGTATTTCTCTGGACCTTATACTTATCTTAAAATGGTTTTCTTCACTCTGGGTTTTCTTCTGTGTATTATAGGGTAAATTATTTTTTAAAAGTGCCACAAAAGTACCAAAATGCTTATTCCTATACCATAAGATCATGGAGTATTCTTTTCCTTTTGCTAAATGGTGTTGATTTAGTGGGTGCCAGTGGCTAACACTACTCAGGGGGGCTGAGATCTGAGGATTGCAGTTTAAAGCCAGCCCAGGCAGGAAAGCCTGTGAGACTATCTGCAACTAACCACTAAAAAGACTAGAAGTGAAGTTCTGGCTCAAGTGGTAGAGTGCTAGCCTTGAGCATAAAAGCTCAGGGAAAATTCCCAGGCCTTGAAGTCAAGCCCTAAGACTGGTGTGCGTGCACGTTGCACGCACACACACAAAGTTGATTCAGTGTGTCCTACTGTATGACAATTTTGAAATCTAGCATGGTGAAGAAAATAAGATAGCTCCAAATTTTTATTTTATTTAAAAATTTTGAATTTCAAAATGGAAAATTCTTAAGACTGTCTATCCTCTAGGATGAAAAGTGTAACATTTTATGGAATTGTAAAAAGAAACAATGAGGCAAGAAGGGGTTTTGATGAGTAATGGATTAAGTCTGAAATCAGCTGTAGTATTTAGGAATTAGGGCTTTGGTTAGATGACTGTATTTACTAACTGGTCTAAATCCCAGCATAATATAACACTACATTTTGTAGAAATCACTAGGCATAATCTTGGAAGAGTAGCCAAGCCAATGCCTTTCATAATGGAATGTGAAAGTGGAAAGGGTAGACCATTTATTTTGCAAAGGAATGCTTAATTTGGGCCAAATGTTGTTTGATAGAGTGGATTAGTTTAGTAGGAGGCCTATTCGAGTACTTCTACACATATGGTTCTTTTTTTCTTAATGCTTAGAATTAAATCCTTTAACATATTGCCAGAAAAATTAACTATATAAACACTGCAAAAAAAAAAACTATTTCTTTTAATCCAAACATGCTGACCCTTCACTGTAATACCTCCTGACGATGTAAGCGAAGGGCTAGGGCTTCTCTGAATCACAGTCCATCTTCCCAGGAGCAGGCCCACTGCCGGCCAAACTCAGCATCTTTCTCTGAGCTGAAGCCCAAGGCAGTGAAGTCGCATTGTATATCTTTGTATCTAAATACACACCTAGGGTAAGCACTGATAGGTCATATTTATGAAGTAGTTATTACTAGGCACAAAGCCCTACAAGAGCAAGCAGCAACTTCAATCCTACATTATACATCACAACACCAATGGTGAATACTGAGCTACTACAATGTGAAGAGCTCTCAGAGAATTCCTTATACATCTTTGATATCCCTGAAATTCTCCTTACGTGTTAGTTTTTACTTCGTATTTCCTCCTTAAGTAAGAACATGGTAAATTATGTAACCATGAGCGCTGCTTTTTAGAAATTCTAAAATCTTTCCCAATTTATCTTTGCTTGTTGAAGTTTGCTATGTAGGCCAGGCTGGGCACAGTCTCATGATCTTCTTGCTTACACCTCCCCAGTTGCTGAGATGATAGGCTGTGCTATCATGTCTGGCTCAAATATTTCTTAGCAGGACTTAAAAGAACCACATCAAAAGGCATAATATAAGACTAGGAATCCTCTTTTTGCATTCAAGGCAACAAAAACAAATGGGTCAGGCCTGGAATCACCAAACCCCCTCTCTCTACCGAACAAATGTGGGCAAGTAGACACTGGAAGAGAAAGAATCCCAAATAACAGAGTATACCTAAATCTCCCACAAATACCCCTCCAACACTTCAGAAACCCTCCCTCCTATACCGTTAGTGAGCAACACTCTGATAGCCATCACATTTGGGGCAGCCCTGGACTTCCAGCTAAGACAAATATAGTCCAACCAAATTTCCTAGCTCCATAGCCAACTTCTTGGTATAAAAATCTCAGCCACCCCTGGCTGTGTCACAAGGGCAATCAGGCGATGTTCTTTAGCTTAAGTTTGTATATAGGTTAAGATTCTGGGTGGAAAAGAGTTGTTTCAGTATCAACTTTGAGGGCAAGGAAAACACATTCTGGTTCACATAAGTTTCTTGTCAAGTAAGGCAAATGCAAACAAACCTGGCAACACCATACCTTTCCTCCACGGATACTTCTTTCAGCTGCTGGTGTGGTTTGGTGCCTTCCATCTCCCTGATGCTCACGGCATAGATCTTGGTAGTGTAGTCAATGGCCTTTTCTCTAGCAACGTCGCTGTCATAGCCTCAAACAACAGAAGGAGATTGGGGAGCCAGTTGGTTTGCAATGGCTTGGGAGGGGACAATGGAGGAAGGTGCAGTCAGTGAGAGAGGCATGTGGCGGGTGGGGACTCACCTCCGTCCTCCTCAGCATCTGTGTCTGACTCCTCACTGTCTACCAGCTTGCTCTCCTGGGTCCCCACAAACTCCCTGGTCCAAATCATCAAGGCTGTGTCTGCACCGCCCACCGTGAGTAGCACAGAGTCATTGTGCAGCCATCTAACATTGGTGACATGAGCACTGTGCCCCACGTACTTCTTGAATCTTGCATGCTGTCCCTGTAAACAAAGCCAGAAATAGGAAGTTACCCCAGCCAGTGGGTCTTTATCCTTCTCTCTGGTCTTATTCATCCATATTTCTTTCCTTCCCTCTATGTTTCTCTTCCTTCCTTCCTTCCTTCCTTCCTTTCTACCTTCCTTCCTTCCTTCCTTCTTTCCTTCCTTCCTTCCTTCTTCTTCCTCTTTCTATATTTCTTTCTCTTACTCTCTTTTTCTCTCACTTTCTTTCTCTCTCTCTGTCCTTGTTTCTCTCTGTTTCTGTCTCCCTTTTGCTGCCATTTCTGGGGCTTGAACTCAAGGACCTCACATTTATTCAGCTTACTACACTTGACTGGCACTCTACCAATTGAGCCATGCCTTCAACCCATGGTCCACGTATGTTCTAGGGTGGTTTCTACTCTATGTAATGAAATGCCTTATTTAAAAGCAGTGATTTTCTTATCTGTCATTGGACTATATATTTCAGGATGACAGGGTCTTAATCTCTTGTCTTAAGACAGTATCTGGCAACCAATCAATGAAACATTTCTGAGCTTGTTTGTTTCTCTCAAATATCAAATGTGGCATCTCCACAGGTCTTTAGTGTGAATTTCTAAAGGAGAGTTTGGCTGACATTTGAGATAAAAAAATGTCTTTGTAGCCATCCCCACAGTGGCTTTGGTCCCACAGCCCAGCAATAACAGAAGAGCAAGGCCCTTGAGTAGGATTTAAAGCAAACACAGCAGCAGTTTCTGCTTTACATCCTGGAAACCATTTCTAATGCCAGAAAGACTCAAAAAATATGGCTTAAAGACAAATTAACCTCCTTCTCAAACACACACACACACCCAACTAAATAACACCAAGTTTCTGAGTAACTACTAGAAGCAGGTGCCTGGGCTCCTCCACGTCTATCCCCAGAGGGTGAGAGGTGAGGGAAAATGTGGTTGGTGGCTCTCTCCAGGACTGACAAGTGGTAGAAGCCAGAGTTGGCACCAGAAAGATCTTCCACTTTGGGCTCATGAGACACAGTCTGGCAAAAACAGGTTTAGCAAGAGCCATGGAGGGGTAGAGTTTTTCCACCCTGTCAGCGGCTCCCAGGGAATACCTTATGCAATGTGGGAAGCCACATGAACTCTCTGAGGTCATGAGATGGCCACTAGTGTCCCAGTTTGGATTGGTATACTGGAAAACCTGAAACCCGCACAGACACACGGCAGGAAACAGGTGCAGGGACATCCGTGACTTTGAAATACTCTTGGTGAGGATCTCTTTGTATCTGGCTGGCTCCGACCTGCCAACTCAGTGGAACTGTCCCCTCCGTAGCAGCAGTGGAGAAAGACTGGCCATGAAAACAGGCAAACACATTTCTAGGAAGCCACTGGAGCCACTAGTTTGTTTGCCAATAGACAGAACAAAGTAAGAATCTGCAAGGGACTCTTCTGTGTGATCATGTGAGAAGCATGGCACGGTACAATATAGCAGCCATGGCCACATGCCCATTGGTCTGCCTGTTAACCTGCAGCGTACCACTGCAAGTTAGTTTCTTTTTTCTTTTTTTCCTTTTTTTTTGGTGCTGGTCCTGGGGCTTGAACTCAGGGCCTGGGCACTGTCCCAGAGATTTTGTGCTCAAAGGTAGTGCTCTATCAGTTGAGCTCAGTTTCCAGCTTTTTGATGGTTATTTGGAGATAAGACTCTCTCAGCATTTGCCTGCCTGGGCTGGCTTCAACCATGATCCTCAGATCTCAACCTCCTGAGTAGCTAGGATTACAGGTGTGAGCCACCAGCAACCGGCTTATAAGTTAGTTTCTTTAGAGGAAAAGAAAGGAAAAGCACCCAAGAGATACTTCTTGGTATGTTTACTAGTAACAAAGTGGAAGGAAGAATTTAAAACAAAAACACTCGGGGGAAAACAGATGCTAATGTGGTCAATTGGGTTGCAGAGAGAAAGAAATACAGAGAAGAGAGGAGAAACACACACACACACACACACACACACACACACACAAATTTCTTGGGCCCCTGAAGCTATTTAATAAAGGTCAACACCTTCCTGCAAGGGTAACTCTCAGAACAGGAAACAAGATCAATAAAACAATAAAAGGAAGCCACAGTTACTAGAAAGTTCCAGAAAACCAGCTCTGTCTCAAGAGGAGGCAGCTGGTGTGGATGCTGCTCCCCTCAGCCTGGGGCCTGCCACAGGCAGTCTGGTCAGTCCGGTGAGCTGTTCTTTGGGACTGTCATGCCAACCTCTGTATTTCTGGAATCACTGCTTTTCCACAAGTCTTCTGTTTCACCAAGTCATGAAAGAATGGGTGATAAGAGCCAGAAGACTCTGGAATGTCTCCAGAGCACTGGTGGTTAATCTCTATTAGGTAAGAAATTCCTAAGAATCTGATGACTGCTATGCACCCTTTCCACAAACCACAGCACTTCACATACAGTTGCTTTGTGCAAAACATTTTTTTTTATATTCAACAAGGTAACTTAAGGGCAGAGGGATTTACAAATGTAAGTAGCATAGTAGTCTTTTAGCTTCTCTGTTCAGTGAAAGGCCATAGGTTTATAAGGGAAGGGAAGCTACAAGAAGCAATTGGCTAACTAGATGGTGCTGAGAACTGAATGCTTTCTGGATCATTGTTTAAAGTACTGAGAAAATGGCTGCGCTCTGGCAAGAGTCAGAGTCTGGCTGGTTGAGGCTGGGGACAAGGTGACTGTCAAGGCCAATGATCACATTAAAAGGTTTTAAACTACAAAACTGAGCACTAAGAAGGGTGCATATTTACTATAGAAAGGAAAATGCCTGTTAACCCTAGGGAAAAGAGAATGGGAAAAGGGGTCAAGAAGATCTAGGAGCCAAGCACCTGTGGTGCAGGTCTGTAATCCTAGCTACTCAGGAAGCTGAGATCTGAGGATCACGGTTCAAAGCCAGCCAGGCAGGAAAGTCCATGAGACTCTTACCTCCAATAAACCACTCAGAGACCCGGAAGTGGTGCTGTGGCTCAAGTGGTTGAGCGCTCACCTTGAACTTAAGAGCTGAGGGACAGGGCCCAGGCCCAGAGTTCAAGCCCCATGACTGACAATAAAAAAAAAAAATAAAGACCCAGGATCTTGGCAGTTAACAAATGGAGTTTGGAGTTTTGGAACAGACAGATGTGTGATGATAATAGGAGATCTCTGGTATCACCAGAGATGACCTGGAAGTCAGTGCTAGAACCTGGTGATGGCAATCTAGGAGTCCGCCTAGGTTGTATATGCCTAGCTGAGTAGTTCAAACAACAGAAGACTATTTCTCACAGTGTGGAGACTGATTCAGTCCCTGGGTTTTCTTCCTGGTCTGTGGATTAGCATTTACTATCTATGTACTCACAGGACTTTTCCTCCCTGTGTGCACACACGTGTTAGCAGAGAGAGCGCAGTGTGGTGTTTGTTTTTGTGATACAGATCTCACTATGGGGTACAGGCTGGTCTTGAATTTGTAGTCCTCTTGCTTCAGAGGTGAGGATTAAGGGTAGTGGGGAGACAAATGGGGAGAGGAACAGTGGGCGAATACAGTCATCCATGTACATATGTGAAAATGGAATCAGGAACAGGAGGGGATGGGCTAAATGTGACGGTGAGGAAGAATGATAGAAGGGATGACACTGATCAAGATGCATTGTACACGTAAGTGGGCATGCTAAACTGACTCTAAATAATCATACTCATCTGAGGACCCCTTGTGGTTTGGGCCTTAAGTTGCCCAAAGTCTTCCTGATGGCTAATTCACTGGATTCCCACTGGATTGAGTATTAGCTGGGTTGATAATCATTACATAATGCTTGAGTGGGGAATATAACTCAGCTCTAACAACTTTGCCATTTTTTTTTTGTCGGTTATGGGGCCTGAACTCTGGGCCTGGGAGCTGTTCTTCAGCTCAAGGATAGCGCTCTACCACTTGTTCCACAGCACCACTTCCAGCTTTTATCTGCTAATGTGGTGCTGAGAACCGAGGGCCTCATGCGTGCGAGTAAGCATTCTACTACTGAGCCACCTTCCTAGCCCCAACGTTGCCAATTTAAAGCCCTGAGAAATAGTTATTCTTCTTTCTCAAGATTGGTTTTTCTATTAAGGATCTTTCATAATTCCTAAAATGTGAATTTTAGAATAATTTTTCCATTTCAATGAAAAATGTCATTGGAATTTTGATAGGACTACCATTATTTCAGGTAGTATAGAAAGTTTTAATAATATTAATCCATTCAATTTATGAACATGGGATAACTTATTGTATATCTTATATCTATTTATTTTTGTCATCTTCAATTTCTTCATTCGTGTCTTTTTATTGCCAGCATGTATATTTTTCATCTCCTTAATTAAATTTATTCTTTCATGTTTTTTATATCAGTCTTGGGTCTTGAACTCAGGGCCTGGACGCTATCTCTGAGCTTAGGATAGTGCTCTACCATTTGTGCTACAGCTCCCCTTTGGCTTTTTGGTGGTTAGCTGGAGATAAGAGTCTCTCAGACTTTCCTGCCCAGGCTAGCTTCAAACGGCAATCCTCAGATCTCAGCCTCCTGAGTAGCTAGGATTACAGGCATGAGCCACTAGTGCCCGGCTAACTAAATTTATTCTTAATAATTTTATTGCTTTTGGTGCTATCATGAATTATTCTCATTTTTGGATAGTATGTTATTAGTGCATAGAAATAAAACAGATGTTTGTATGTTAATTTCATATCCTGAAATTTTACTAAATATTTCTAATAGCTTTTTGCTGGAGCTTCTAGGATTTCTGTATGTAAGAGCATATCTACAAATAGAGACAACTTTACTTCTTCTTTTCTGACTTAGATGCCTTTTCTTTTTCTTGCCTATTTGCTCTGCCTGGGACTTCCAGAATTTATATTAAACAGAAGTGGTGAAAATAGGCATACTTATCTTGTTTTTGATCTTAAAGGGAAAGCTTTAGCTTTTCACCTTGGATATTATGTTAGCTCTGAGCTGGTTACTTATAGCTATTATTATATTCATGTACATTTCTTTTATATCTAATTTGTTAACTTTTAAAAATCATAAAATGGAAGTAAATTTGAAAAATGCCCTTTTCATACCTGTTGAGATAATTGTATGTTTTTTATCCTTTATTCTGTTAATATGGCAATATCATACTTACTGATTTACATATAACGAAACATTCTTGTATCTAGGGATTTCACTTGTTGAGGATTTTCGTACCTATGTTCATCAAGGCTATTGATCTGTAAATGTCTTTTCTTATAGTATCTTCATCTACCTTCAATACGAGTATAATGCTGGCCTGGTAAAATTACTTCAGAAATATTCCTTAATCTCCTTTTTGTTTTTAGGTGTGAGAAGTTTGGTGTTAATTTTTTCAAAATGTGTGACAGAATTCTCCTATGAAGCCATTTTTTCCCCTCAGTTTTTCTAGGAAGATTTTAATTAATGATAAAATCTGCTTACTTATTACTCATCCATTCAGATTTTCTACTTTTTTATCATTTGCTCTCGGTAATTTGTATTGAAAGACCCCCTCCCTAACCAACCAGGCCCTGAGCCTCTTTTTTTTAGGGGAACAAAGTTTTGTATTTAACCAAGCTATTTCTGGCTTCTGTAACATGCTTTGCTAAGAAAATTATATTACCACACTCCCCTTTTGATAACTAACCTCACCAGTTAATCAATAAGCCCACACCCTACTAACTAATCCCCCCCCC